TATATATATATATATATATAGATATATATATATATATATATATAAATTGTTTATTTTTTAAACATTAATACATCTTACCTGGAAACGTGGTTGTGGTAGCTTGGTGGTCAATGCTTTGGTCTTGTATTCCTCAGATTGCATCAGGAAAGGCTTCTGGTGTAAAAACAATTGCCAAATATTTCATGAGAGTTCGCTCGCTGTGGCGACCCCTGAAGAAGGGAGCAGCCAAGAGAAAACGTTAGATGTGACCTGGAAGAAGTGTTCCAAGTTGTAATACTCTACTTATGTTCATTTTAGGTTGTTTTTCCAGGCTGTAACATAACAACAATATGTATCAACATTTTTTCAAAAAACAAACTTTTATTTGTGGTATTTATGTTTGGAGATATTTGTTTTCAGCTAATGATTTTTTAAATATATGTATTCAAAGAATGCTGTTACAGAAAGGGAAGTGTTTCCAATTGTGTGTTATTCCTTCAAAATGTCTGCCACCTACAGACTGCGGGGAGGTGAACTGTAGACAGGTCTAAGCCATATTCTCATTTTTGGTTCATTTTTGCACTAATGATGCTTTGGCTAGTCATAATCCTTATAAGTTTCAGGTTGTTTTTAGTTTGTGGTGTAGAGTAAATGTTTTCTCGGCTCAAAAGCGACTCTTGAATGACGTAAAGGGTTCTGATTAATATGTGAACATCTAAACACTTTTCCAGCTCCCACAGCATTAAAATTGCTTTTGCATTGCAAAATTCCAAACAGTGCTGTGCGGTCAACAAGTACAGGATCATTTCTATATGGAGTGTAAAATATAGAACATAAAGTGCATGGTATATAATTATTGTAATGTTTATTGATTCTTTTAATGTTAAATAACAAATGGTAACAAATGTGTCTACAGACCATTTTTCCATCTATCCCTGAGATCTTTAACCACAATAAGGACCTTCCATGTAACAAGTTCATTTTTTCCTTTGAAAAAAAAAAAAAAATCTAATGCATTTTATGAGCATGAAATAAGTGATCCATTCTAGAAAGGCTTTGGTAGTTGGATTCCCAGGAAGCCCAACCTTGCTTTTAAATGTAGATGTCTGCACACATGGCACTTTGCACTGTATCTCAACTCACATAAGATCTGCAACACACCACACCTGTTAAGGGCCTGCCCAATTCTGGTACCCACCCCCACTCATCCCCGTTTACGGGACCACCATGTTCGTGGTTCCAAGCGGGCTGCTTCAATATGATGATTTTGACTTAAGCAGACAGCAGCCACTGATTGGCCAGCAGAGCTACTTCACTAGATGACTCGCAAACTGAAAACTACACCTGAATGGCCGTTTCCTCTCACATCAAAGTGTGGGTTAGTCAAGTTGTTTTTCATGTTTTCTAGTTTCTAGTTCAGTATGGAAGCTTCAAGAACAGCACATGGACAAATGAAGAGGTCCAGACTTTTCTGTTTTTATTGGCGGATCAGAGGATTCAGAGTGAGCTGGATGGTGCTACAAGAAATTAACAAATTTACCATGAGACATCGGAGAGGAAGATACAACATGGCTACACCCAGACCTTTAAATACTGCTAGAATAAGCAAAGACAAATTTAAGTCATATTACGATTATGATGCCCACCCATTTTGCACTTACGATCCTGCCTTCAGAGCGGGGACACAAGTCACAGTGACAGTTCACCTACACCTGAGAAGAAATGATAGGACGAGAGCTGACTCAAGTCACTGATTGCCAAAGTGGTTATATTTATCTAACTGATTATTACCTTGTTCCAAAGTGTTTGCGTAACTGTTTGTCTTCTGTCTTACAGAGCAGCAAGAAGCCAAAAAGGTGCACAGACAGAAAGTGTTTTGCCAGATCACGCAGCACCTTTTGGAAAACCATGAAATGTGGAAACGTGTGCTTGCTGCGGAGGCCTCAGAGGAGGCCCGGGAAGAAACGCCCAACTGCTTAGGCAACCCCTCCGATCCGATCACAGCGATCCGTGAGGAGGAAGAGGAGCAAGTCAGCAAAGAGGAGGAGGAGGAGTCGGGAGACGACCTCGACGAAAGGGAAGAAGTATCGGCTTTAGAGGAAGAGGAAATTCTTCCACAATCAGAAACTTCGGGAGAGGAAAAAGAAGATCCTGAATGAGATCACAAACCAACTTCTACGTAAACCAGGAGTCTAACCATTGTTTAAAAATGTTTTGCTTTTACTTTCCTACTTTCCAAACCAAACTCTTTTTATGGTAGCCAGCACATCACTTTGACACAGCACTGTAGAAGATGTTTTGGGTGAAACGTGCCTAAATTAAACAGGGTTGGAGGACTAGGATGTACATTTGAGAAGAAGAGAGTTGAGCAAAAGAAGAAGACACAGATAAATTCCTGTTATGGACTTTAGATTGTTGGTCTTTAATTTTAAGGCTATTTTACTCTGTATCTGGTGCCCTGTCCTAATGCAGACCAACCACAGATTTGTACCCATTCAAACACACCCACCCCCCATAAACAAGATCAGTTATACAGCAGAACTCATTCCACACTTGGAACAAGGAAGAAGTTTGGCAACGACACCAGTTGCTCAAAAAGCTTTATACTCACTCAAGGAAGACTATATATGAAAAAAAAAGTTGTGTCCACAACAAACAATGTTTGCAGTCATCTTCTCTGTTTTTCTGTTGCTCAGACTCCACAGCACACCTACTCGTTTCAAGACCGCACAACTCAGAAAGGTAGAAATACAAAGGACTTTCAGGGTTCTTGTTACATTTGATTACTTCTTCTTTTCTTTTGTTATTTTTCTGACACATCAGTTCCATCATACCCCCAGAGGAGCATGATTACATGAAAATAATCAACAAAGTGGGTATCTTTGTCCAACACTACAAGAATTTCAAAAGATAAAGCATATGGATGTCATGATTACATGGGAAAGAGGAAGTACACTCTCATTCAATTGTGAGGTTTTACGTATCAGGACATAATAAAACTGATTGGGTGTTCTTTAGGTTCTCATCAGATTCCACCGTGTGAACATGTGTTACACACAAACAAAATGGAAAAGCTGTGTGAAAAACAGCATAAACCCCATGACTGAACAACTTGTAGAACCACATTTAGCAGTAATTCAAAGGAAATTGTTGCAGACATCCTGTGCTCCACTAACTTTACAAACCTACATCGAGCTGCCATGTACATTTTACAGAGAAGAAGCTTTCTTGATTTCAGTCTTTCCCCAATTGTCCTGTCATGAACTTTAACCTTTAACCTGCAAACTAAGGCCCTTAGTGTTTGAGATGGCACTCTTGGTTTTTTTTCTGCCATTTTTCTAAACATTGGATGGTTTGCTGGGGTGTCCACCAATAGGAAGATTACAATTATAAGCCATCTTAAATGTTTTCCACTGGTGATTATTCTATCTCTGTGCAATGATAGACTCCTTGTTTGGAAATGACCTGCAACTCCATCCATCCATTATATTTTACTCGCTTCTTCTATTTTGGGTCACGAGGGTCGCCGGTGCCCATATCCAGCAACCACTATGCGAGGAGCGGGGTACACCCTGGACAGGTCTCCAGTCCATCACAGGGACACATAGAGACAAATGAGACAAATAAGCATTCACTCTCACACTCACACCTAGGGACAATATAGAGTAACCTATCAGCCTAACATGCATGTTTTTGGTTTGTGAGAGAAAACTGGAGTACTCGGAGAAAACCCACGCATGCACAGAGAGAACATGCAAACTCCACCCAGAAAGGCCTCCCGGACCAGGATTTGAACCGGCAACCTTCTCACTGAGAGGCAGCAGCTCTACCAGTTGCGCCACTGTGCTAATCGACTTGTAACTCTTCCCACATTAATAAGCAGCAACAATTGCTTCTTTATGGTCACTGCTGAGGTTATTCCTCTTGGCACATGGTTAACACACTCATGAATGCTTCAGAGCAGCAAACTGGTAAAACCTCTGTTTGTACTGAGGTGCTCACACTGATAATGTTCAGTCAATCAATCCGTTTGTTCAGAAGCACCTGACTAATACTTCCCCTCCCAAATCCTTTGAAGAAGCAAGGGTGGTCATTCAGCACAGTTTTTGCATTTGGGCATTTAGATCTCCAATTGCATTGCAAAAAATGGAAATTGGAAATACCCTCCATTGGTTTGTCATTGACTGTTGTGAGCACAATAACTATATATATATATAAATATATAT